CTAGGAGAAGAGTAAGCCCATAGGGAGAAACGGGTTGGCGAGGAACATACCTTTGCCAAGTACATTATTCGTTTGGGAATCGGTCGTAACAGCACCGTACTCTGCGGCATTGTGTATTCGCTTAGTGTGCGCTGGAGTCTCAGATAAAGTAGATGATATCATTGGCTGGTAGTGAGACCAGCCAGGGCAGATATTTTTTTTTGTTTTTTTTCCCAATTTCGAAACGAGAGCAGAACACTCATTGCTGTTGCTGGGTGGATTATTGGGAGGTCGAGACTAGGGCTTTTCATCATCAGCAGCCCTCAAACGCATCGCCATTTATTGCGCTGAGTTAATTTTTCATCATGATTATTTTTTGCTTTGTCATTTCTGCTCATTGCCAGGTCGCCATCTGCATGCTGGTCACAATATTCCACTGTGTTAAAAAATGTGTGTTTGTATATCTCCTTCTTATTCTTTTTTTTTTTTTTTTTTTCCTTCTTCAATTTGTAAGGAATATGAGCGTGAACGATATACAGAAAACCAAGTTGCGAAATCACATAGATGTCCAAGTAGTCGTGTTCAAGCAGAGAGTACAAATGCACCGAGAAAACCATCCGTATAGAGCAATACAATGAAGTAATAAGTCAATGTCCAAGCCCGTAGGCCACACCAACACAGTATCGAAAGTCACTCCTCTCTGTCTGGCGCCCAGCGCCCAGCCTACTCCACCCGAGTATCCTACCTACATCCGGTTCACGCAACAGGCTCACTTCGACTCTCGAAGACCAATGTAAATGACTGTCAACACCGTAGCCGACCTCTCTTCATGCACCAGGTACGTGTCTTGTCACCCTCAATCAGACCTTGATTACCCTCCACTGCGCCTCCTTCCCTGAAGACCACCTGATCGCCCCGCTGTACCCCCTGGCGCCCAGCAGCCCGGGTATGGCTGCCTGCGCCCCGCTGCCCTGCAGCGCCCCACCTCACCTCTCCGCGCCCCGTCAGCGCCCTTGGCAGCAGCGCATCATCAAGCGATAGCGCAGCAGCACTTCCGCATTGCCTGCACTGGCCAGAATGCCTGGCCTGGGCTGCCTCACTTCGTTTATGGAAGTGGCAGCCTCCTAGATCCTGCATGTGGCCTGGCTGGAAGCTTCCAGTAGCTTCCGGTTGGGCCTCAGACCCTGCACAGTTGGGCACGGCCTGAGTCTCCGGACTTGGGCTGTTTGCTGCATCTGTGCAGGGCTCCCGGGTAGGTGTGTCGACAGTACTGCTTTTGCGTAGGTCGATGACCTGCTTCTCAATGTATCGGCCCTGCTTTGTGTGTATGTGCCCAGGCGCAACTGTCAAGGCCTGGGCCAACTGTATGACGCAGCTTAGTGAGGCTCGCGCATCCATTCAACCAACTGGTGTGCTGCAAGAGCCCGAATACCCACATATGAAAGTGTCAAATTTTGGCTTTTGACAAATATTCAGGCCTGCCTTCACTTAGGGCGGGCACTCGGCTTGCTGGGGGCCTTAGCTCAGAACATATGATGTCTGATAGGGCCCCTTGAGGGCTCGTTCCTCACAAATTGTTATTCTTTTTTTTTTTTTTTTTTTTTTTTTTTGACGAAGAAGGTCAATGTGTGTTTGTGTATCGAGTTCTGGAGTGCGCAAAAAAAAAAAAAAAGAATTCTCCAGTGCAGTTTCTTGCATGTACGTTATTTGACGCATTCAGTAATCTAGTAATCTAGTAGCTTTCATGTATGTTATGTGACCGCATTCAGTAATCTAGTAATCTAGTAATCGCATTCAGTAATCTAGTAATCTAGTAATCTAGTAATGTAGTAATGTAGTAATGTAGTAATCTAGTATCTACCAATTGTCACCGACTTGGAACTTTCAGAGTTAATACAATGAGATTTCATGCACTTGTTTTCATGCTCACAGGTGGCGGCATTTTACAATGAGATTTCTACTCAAATGATGCCTTCACAGAAAGCAATGATGCTCGAAGATGCAATCCGATTCGAAGCCGTGCTGAAAAACCCGCGCGATGGGTTGGGAGCAGCGATCACCTGGAACAATCTCACGGCCCTGCAGGTGAGTTCGACCTACTGCAATTTTGTTGTACAAAGGAGCTTACAAAAAGCAAAACCGACTCCCCTTTCACATCCTCCACCACCTCCTCCTCCTCCTCCTCCTCCCCCATCTCCGGATCTGCTGCCTCCTCCAGGTCCTTAGACACTTTTCCTCCCCTACTTCTTCCCCTCTTCCCCTTCAACTCGTCCTCCATAGACTTCTCTATCCTTTTTCAGATTGGTTGCATCTGGTGATTTTGGTTGCATCTGGATTCGAACTCAGGTCTGTATTTCAACAGGTCATTGGAATACCATCTGATCTAGGCCCATTGATTTCCAGTACTTTCTAGTACTTTCTAGTACTTTCTACCCTTCCACCCCCCCGGCCCCCTTTTCTTTTCTTTCATCTTTCACGACCTACCTACCACTCCAGTCTTCCCCCGAATACAACGTACGGTCATTATAGCTGAATTTGGGGCATCTTTCAGTCTAAATACAGCTATAATGACCGTACGTTGTTTTCGGGGGAAGAAGGTACTCCTGAGGCTTATACAGGGGACCCCTGCAAGCACAGCTATCTACCTCTCTTGGTGAAGGGGGGTTACCTCTCTCGGCGGAGGGAGGTAATTGGATTTTTGCCCCTTGCCCTAGTGGTCTGGGGTGCAGGGTTGGATTTTTCAACTTCTGCGTTCATCCCCCCTTTCCCCCTTTCTCCTTCCTTTTTTATAGCACACTCGCCTTCCTTTTTGCACTTGTTCATCTGTACTTAAGGAAACCTATAGGATTCAAACTCCTATAGGTTGTGCCTAAGGAAAGTTAGGAAACCTATATATATATATATATATATATATATGTCCTCTTCTCCCTCTCTGCCTACGGTTTACCGGGCAGTTCTATTTGACGATATATACTACGACTTCGCTAGCTTCCTGCTACGGTTTTCTCCGGTCAGGTSGAGCGGCAGTGGTYGGGGCCGTCWCTACGCGGCCATGCTGTGCCTCTAGTGCCARYGGCRTGTCTGGAGTGTATTTTTTGGCTGTGAYAGACCTTTCTTTGTTTCGTGGGTGTTTTGCTGGCYTGTGATGGGGTGTGAACCGACAGTCTGTAGAGTTTTCCATCTGGTGTGGGTGAGTGATAGTCTACTTTGATTTTGGTTAAGGTGGATTATCACTTACAGTGTAATCAGTGAGGGGATTCTACAGACTGTTGAGGGTTCAGCCTCCTGATGAGTCGGTGAAACTCCGACGAAACAGTTTGTCACAGCCCCTCGTTTGTTGTCCTCTTCTCCCTCTCTGCCTACAGTTTACCGGGCAGTTCTATTTGACGATATATATATTATATATTATATATATATATATATGTTTCTGTAACACACTCACCTTCCTTTTTGCACTTGGCGCAACCTATAGGATTCGAACCCCTACAGCATGTCAAGTGTCCCCCATTAGGTTGTGCCTATAGAGAGTCGGCTGCTGAGTGTGTTATCATTCACTCAAGTTCAATGATAAAAACGCAAACAAATTTTTACCAAAAGAAAAATCTTCAAAAAAGTATGATGTAGGGTGATTGGCACTGATTGCAGAATTATGACAAATCCTGAGGGAGGGAGCCATACCCGCGCTTTGAGTGACATACCGACTTGAAATTCCTGGTTTAAACTTTAACGTTACTCGTTGGGTCATGGGTAAACTGGTTTTGCACAAATTTGAAATTTGCAGGGCTACATAAAAATGTTGCAGGAGGCTGCAAAAGCGCTGACTGACAAGAACCGCAAGCTCCGAAAGAAACACAGGTGTGCATTGCAACAATATGCATCTTGACCAGTCTCTGCCCCTACACTTCCTGCCATCCTCTCGCTTTCATCAATCTCCGCCCTCCACTTGAATCGATCTACTCTGATTCTACTGTCCTCACATACAATACCAACTGCCACTCTGGTTGGTCTGTGGAGTGACTTGATGCTTAGGTGTCACTAAGTTGTGACATGCAGAGGTCACTCAGGTGCAACTACGTTGGGGCGGTTACTTGTCGCTCAATTGTCACGCAGGTGTCACGCAGGTGTCACACAGATGTCACACAGGCGTCACGCAGGTGTCTCGCAGGTGTCACACAGGTGTCACACAGGTGTCACACAGGTGTTACACAGGTGTCACGCAGGTGTCACGCAGGTGTCACGCAGGTGTCACGCAGGTGTCACTCAGTAGCAGTGGTCAACCCGTGCCTCTCAGTTTTCACTCATTTGCCACTCAGTTGTTATCCAGTTGTGACTACCGTCTTCACCCGAATAGAACGCTTGGTCATTATAGCTGTATTTGGGGCAACTTCCAGTCCAGATACAGCGATAATTACCGGGCGTTCTATTCGGGTGAAGACGGTAGTTATCACTCAGTTGGAGTGGTCAGTCAGTGCCACTCATTTTTCAATTATTTTTTCACTCATTCCACTCATTGGTCACTCAACTGATTTGTCACTCATTTGTCACTCATTTGTCACTCATTTGTCACTCATTTGTCACTCATTTGTCACTCATTTGTCATTCATTGCCACTCATTCGTCGTTCATTTGTCATTTCATTGCCACTCATTTGTCACTCATTTGTCACGCATTTGTCACTCATTTGTCGCTCATTTGTCGCTCATTTGTCGCTCATTTGTTGCTCATTCGTTGCTCATTTGTTGCTCAGTTGGCATGGTAACTCAGTTGGCATGGTAACTCAGTTGGCATGGTAACTCAGTTGGCGTGGCAACTCAGTTGGCATGGTAACTCAGTTGGCGTGGTAACTCAGTTGGCATGGTAACTCAGTTGGCGTGGTAACTCAGTTGGCATGGTAACTCAGACTTGGGCAGAGAACAAGAACTGTCAATCAGCTGCCAGCGTTTTTAGACTACTGAAGTCAGTAAACCAGGAGCTATGGGAAGGGCAAGGAGGTCCCATGTACGTGCCCCTGCCCAGTAAAGGTACACGCATGGAACGGGTGGGAAACTGTCCAGGACTTCAAATCCTGGCAGATAGAATAATCCTAGGTGGTACTCCTCTCTTTCTATGCAAGTTGTACAGGAAGGGGAAAGAAAAAGGAAAGAGAACCTCACCTGTATCAGCATTCTGGAGGAGACAAGTCCTGGCTGCTAAGGGTGGTGTGAGAACCAAGGGCCTGTCACATAGCACCGATGTGGATCGTCCGCACAACCCAAGGACCTCCACTGCGTATCGGAACCATACACATTTGGACAGCACAAGGATGTGACGAGAAAAATCGGGGTGGGCTTTTTTCTTTTACTTCCTGCCATCGTTATGATTTGTGTCTGACCACCTTGTGCAAGGGCTTTTACTTCCTGCCATCGTTATGATTTGTGTCTTCCCACCTTGTGCAAGGGCCATGCCAAGCCCATCTGCAAAAGGTAGGCACAGATGGCGGCGACCCC